AACAATCATTGCATTACTTATCAAATATATGTTCGGCAACACTAGTGTCGACAGCACTCAACGGGTCGTCCATTAATACGATGTCTGAGTTTCGGTACAGAGCTCTACATAACACACAAAGCATTATAATTAGTTAAAGTAAAAATTATGATTATTATTCAATCGTACAGAATATTCAAGCTGTAATTAATATAAGAAATGTTAAATAATAAATATATTTAAAATTTTTTATGTAATGATGGATACGGCACAACAGTATTATCATGTTCTAAATATTAGAATAATATGCCCAAAATAATTTCTTTTTTAAAAAAATTGTCAATTAATATATCATAATTCTGTTTCAAAGCTTATGAATTTTTTAACTACTCTTTTAATTACCGTATATATATCGTCCATTAATTCAATAATTAATACAATGTCTGAGTTTCGATATAGAACTCTATATAAATAATTACAAATTATTTCATAGTAATATATTGACAGAAAGTTATTATTGTTATATAAAACTGTAATATTATATAATACTAATGACAAATAATGACCGTGAGTGATAGAAGTATTTAGTGATCACCAAACAAACGGTATTAATTATCACATTAACTGGTGTAAATATGTATAAATGTTTGCACACAAACCTGGCTAACGTGATGCGGGCCTTCTGTCCCCCCGATAGCGATACCCCTCTCTCACCGACTAATGTCTTGTCTCCGAACGCGAATATCTCAAAGTCGCGCTCCAAAGCGCACACCTCTACCACTCGTTTATATCGGGATTCATTATATTCGGCACCAAAAAGTATATTATTTTGAACACTATTATTGAAATTCCAGGGCTCCTGAGAGGCATAGCTTATCGATCCCACAGTTTCTATACTCCCCGACAGAAGCGGCAGCTCATTCAAGACTGTCATTAATAATGAGCTCTAAATCAAATTAATTAATTAGTGTTTTAACTAATAGTTATAAATTACTAGAGATAAATAGTGAATTTAATGCCCGTAATTTATTAGCTAAAATTATTGAAATAATTTTATTTTCCAAAATTAAAAATCCTTAATAAGTGTTCACTAGGGATGGGATAATACATGAAAAAAATTTTGCCATGTATTATTCATGTATTATTACCGTATTACCCCGCTTATAGGTGCATGCACTTATATGTGAGTTTTCA